GTTGTTGGCTGGAAGACCTTTCTCACCATATAATAACCTCTTTTCATAAGGATGCTTGAATGCCATTATGAAATAGCACCTGTGTGACCCCACTGGGTTGACCCAAGAGAGGTGTTGTAGTTATATAATCATTTGTCAATTTGAGGATTAAGAATGGAGGGGTAGAGTCTAGCGTGTCAATCAGATCGTAGCCAATGAGGTCTCTGTGTGGGCATGGCCTTCTCCTGAGAATTCTGGAAAATCCAGTACTTCCTCCCTGGAGCAGGAGAGACTCACTGTCTGCCACTCCCTGAGAGACATTGCAGGTGACAGGACACATGGAACTACCCTAGTACCCTGAGCCAGCCAAGCCACATGGGTGCAACCAGACCTCTAAAGCTGGAGAAGCCACAGAGAGACCCCTGCCAGCGCTGAGATGCTTACTACGCCACTGGATCCAAAGACTTTCTATACCCACTGGCCTGTGATCATCCTGCATTTGGTTTTGTTGCATGTGTTTCGTGAGTCTGAAGAAGACTTTATAGATTGGTATTGGACCTTGGACTGGACTGGGTTGTGATGTTTCTTAATGTACAATTGCTCTTGTATATAAACCTCTTCCTTATACTCGTGTTTATGCATGGATTTGTTTCTCTAATCTACCCAGACTGACACACTATGGTACCTTGGGAGTGGGGTACTGGAGAAACATCATAAAGATGGAGAACAGATGTTTGTTTGACCGCTCCCTCATGGTAGTGTGCCTTCTTTGGCCAGCCAGAAATCAGATATAGCCTTGCAGTTTACTGAGTTTTTTTCTGGAAAGAATATGGGAAGTTGAAGTTTTGATTATTATGTTTGGGTGTAGTCTTTGATTATTCCTGTTTGAAATGGTAATAGTGAATGTTGTTAATGTATATTTTGAGCTCGGGTAGAAATCACCATTTGAATTTCTCAGTAACCATGCTGCTTAAGGAAAATGGCTAACAGAAAGCATGGATATGTTTTGATGCTCTCAGAGACCTAATCCCATATTTTTGTATCAATAGAGTAGTTTAGATAAGGATTAAGATAAGCTAAATAAGTATTGAACTTGACTGCTTTTAAGAGTTTTTACTATCTGATTCTACTTTGTTTCTACTGATTTCTTCTGTTTATTATTATTGATATAATGATTGATAGAAATGTTTATTGGGAAGTATGAGTCTAGCGTGTCAATCACATCATAGCTAATGTGGCCTCTATGTGGGCATGGCCTTCTCCTGAGAATTCTGGAAAATCCGGTACTTCCTCCTTGGAGGTGGGAGACATTTCTCTCTCTCTGCCACTCCCTGGCAGACATTGCAGCTGACAAGACACATGGAACT